TTTGATAAAATAAATTTTATTAACTATCATCGGACCTGTGACGCACGCAACAGTACGTTTCGCAATAATCTGCATAGGAATTCTCGTCACTTTAATCTCTTTTTGATTACGTACAAATGGAAATATTTCGCTGTTCAGTATATGTGTACGATCCCTAAATATGATGTTCGACTTAAATGCCAAATACGTCGGTCAATTTTTATAGTATGAGCTTCAGACTTAGTGTTTTATTTTTTATAATAAAGATCACAAAATTGTCCTTATTATAAGTATAACGTTATAGTCCTTAATGTAAATTTAAGTCCTTAATATAAGTTAAAAGTTCCTTAACTCTTGTAAGCCTTTTCAACGCTTGGTAGGCTCACACAGTTGCTTGACCCCTTCGTAGAATTTATCTTTTGGAATACTTGTTTACGCCTTTTATTACAGTTACTCCAGTGATATTAAAAGGGTTCGCCGTCAAGACATGTTTTTCTTTACGTGACTGTATTTTATCTTGCCGTATTATACTCGTATTAAATTTATTTAGTTTAATAATTCTGTTTACCTTTTGTATACTTAATAAAGGTTGCTTTTAATATATAGAGTTATTTGCAAGTATGAGATATAAAGAAATGGCACATAGTTAGTTGGAAAATTATGTCAGTATCAAAGAGAACTGTGACTAAACTTCTGATATAACAGAAAGTTATGTTATCGATTTTAAAATTATGCGGGCACAGTGTTGACATGATTCGTCAAAATTTCTTGAAATTTTAATCGGCTAGTTCAGAGAAATCATTCATACAACCAGGAAATTCACGTTTTTATGAAATCTGAATGGAAAACGGAATTACTCTGGAATGTTGTCAGCACCTTACTCTCTTAAAATTAATATGTGTAACGGTGTAGTTGTACAAAACTGTACACAAAAACATTATATATTTTATATTTATTAAATTAAAATATTAAACTAAACAGAGTTATTAATGTAAATAAACTAAATATAATACGGCAAGATATAATACAGTCGTGGAAAGAAAAATGTGTCTTGACGGCGAAACGGACTCGGCGAATAGTCCCACTATAATATTAAAATAACCTTTAATGTTAGATTTTGCCTAAGGGAAAGGAAAGTAGTCTGCAGGTACCAATATGGAGAATAAGGAGTGTGGTTGAGCATTTTCACAGCTAGAAACTGCATGCTTTGACAAGAATGGATTGTTTGTCTTCATTGTTGTGCAGAAGAGAAGCCTCGATTGATTTGATTCAGGTGTAAGTGTCGAATTCTTTTTAGATATCTGTTGGTTATATCTTTATCAAATATGGGATTCACCTTCTGTTTCTTAAGGAAAATTCCTTCGAAATTATTCTTTTCCAAGCCAAAATAAATAAATAAAATGAAAACTCACCAACCTGATTTTTAACTAAGGAATCGAAGTTTCAGTGGCCGTGGTGATGTGGTGTATTTAATTATGGCAAAGCACACTAGGGCTATCTGTCTAAGGGGATGGATGCCTTTCGTGGAGGACTTTCTAAGGGAAACTGGCTCGTATACACGTTACACATGGGGAAAAACCACGAAAACACCCATGCAGCCAGCCCGTTCGCGGGATTCGAACCTCGGACCGAACTACCAGTGTTCAGCGACATTACCGCTCGGCCGCTGGTGGGCTCAGTGGCCGTGGTGAATCTTCTGTAATCGAAGATGATGATTGTCATTTGCCTTCTATATTATAAATAAAGCACAATTTTATGTCGGGACACAGTTTATTTTGGGGCAAAATGTGGGATTAATTCCTGCTTTGCAGCATAACTTTATTCTTATTTTTAACTTTTTAAATCATTGGCAGCATGCTATAACAGCTGCAGTCGTTCACTGAATCCAAGCAAACGATTAACCGTAACTCCTTTCTGCATGCCTTCGTGGTGTAACGGTTAGCACACTTGGCGCGTATTCGAGAAGTCCGTATTCGAGTACCGGCGAGGGCATTGCTTATTTTTCATGTCTCAGTTTCAAAGTGTGTAAGTAGCCATTATTTTGCGAAAATTAGTTGAGATAATTGTATAAAAGGACTGTCTGTAATTATTTGACAGGTTTGCTGGGCTTTGTTAAAAAAAAAAAAAAAAATCTGATGTGTGCACCACATGACTTCCTTGTACGGAATATTAAATTATACGCATTTCATTTAAACTTATTGGATTGAATTAAATCTACTTCGTCGATAGCGCATAAATCACAATAGAATAAATGCGCTCTTTACAGTTCACCATATTTGTTTACCATAGCGACACTCTGGTCCTAGGTTCACTTAACAGCGCTACATTTCAATCCTTTTTTAACTCAGAATGCACAAAATTTATATCATCTTAAGAATTATCTAATCGTTGCTACGTGTTCTATTCAAATACTATAATTAAATACTATAATAAATCTAAAACGATGTATAAAAGAAATTAAGCAAAGAAACAACAATAACATTAAAAAGAAACAGTTTTTCACAGACAATTCAGTATTTCTCATTCATTTAATTCAGTTCTCACTTCGCGATAAGGCAAAAATACATAAAAACTCAAAATGTCTGCATTGAAAACTATGAAGTAAATCTTAAACACTTATTTCCTCGAATAAATTCCAGAATGGATTAAGCATGATTTAATTCGCAATAATAAAAGAAGGCGTAATCTTTGTTATTGCGAAGCTAACTTTCTCTAGATTGACAACAAATCTACTATTCTGTTGTTTCAAATGTAAAGAAGCAATATCCGACATGGCAGAAATTATTAGGCTTTAGCGGCACTTAAGCAACTATTAAATTGTCGATAATTCTAAAAATATTGCATACAGATTTACTAAAGGCATAAAAACCTTAACCGGAAGATAAGAACAGCATAATTCAATCATTTTTAAAGCAAAAAAATGCACAATTTACAAACGTATAAGAGTAAAGAAACTGAAATCACTGAGCCAAAAGTATATAAATATATACATATATATATTTATATACTTTTGGTGCGGCCGATTGCAACCAAAATACGAGGTGCACATCTGCATCGGTGCTACTTTGGTAGACTGTTGCACGGATTTTTGGCGATTTACGTTGGCGCAATTGTTGGCAATCGGTTTTTACAATCGTCAGCCATCTTGAAAAACGCTGTTTTTACGCATAGTAAAGTATTCGAAACTTAAAAAAAAAATAATAATAAATATCGTTAAAAGTAATGAATTAATTTTTTGTTGAAAATGTCGTTTTTTAAGATGGCAGGCAAGTGTAAATAAATACATTTACTATGAGTATAAAATACTAAAGTAAGGTTATTATTACTTTCATACAGCAAAGAAGAGAATAAAAACAACGCTATAAAAACATTGTGCCAACGTTTAATTAGATTAAAATATTACTTAAATTGAATATCGAATTAAAAACCTTATACCAACATTTAAAAGAATTAAAATATTACTAAATTCAAATACTTTAAAATACGTTATATAGGATATAATTAACATTAAAACATATGTAACAATAATTATCTCAGCAATTTTTGAAAATAGTGTATTAATTTTTTTGACAAAAATTGAAGTATACAATTATAAAGTAAAAGAAAAATATGTACTTACATTTTTTTGAGTCATTTAACCTGTCGTTTATTGAAAAGTACCACAAAAAAAATCGGAATCATAATTTAGATATCAATGCAAACAATTTGAAAAATGTAATATCAAGGGCAGGAATAAAAAAATAATAAATAATTATAAATAGATAAAGCAGTTTAGAGCCAAATTAATGGATCATGAAGATTAAAAAAAAAAAAAAAAAAAAAAAGCCTCCAATAATAGGTATTGTTTTTAGATTTCGAAGATCTTTTAACCGCCCCTCCCTGAAGTACAAAGGACAATTTTTTGATTCCGATACCAATAATTCTTGGTACTTACCAATAACAACATTCATCTTTGAAACAGACATCTTTGAAGGAATTCGAAGATATGAATTAAATTTTAAAATGGCGCGGTAATGCACAAATTTTCAGTAACCAATCAGGGAGCTGATTACAGCTCGTTAATGCACAAATATTCTATAACCAATCAGAGAGCTGATTACATCACGCCTAGAATTAAAATTATTTAAATAAATCATACATATAAAATCATTTTTTAAAAAAAATGCAAATTAAACTATACTTTAATATTTAAACAGCCATAATAATGTTTAAAAACATTAGATTAAATTTATAGATATTAAAACTAATTACTTTTAAAGTAAGGTGACGTCATTGATTACATCATCCACAATATAAAATTTCATAAAATATAATAAACAATAAAATTTTATTTTCAAATAAAATGCAAAATTAAATTGATTTTTAATATTTAGAAGCTATTAATAATATTTAAAACACAGAATTTATGCATAATAAAACGCATTGTTTTTTAAATAAAATGATAACAAAGTATCGGTTACCATAAATAACTTATCCAGCAGTGGGTTTACCATAAGTCGTATTACTCGCCAAAAGAAAAATCGCCAAAATCCGTGCAACCGTCTACCAAAGTAGCACCTCTGCATCTTATAGCAGTCCTATATACAAAATTTCAACGTTCTGAGGCTACTCGTTTTTGAGTTATGCGAGATACGTACGTGCGCACAGACGCCACAAAAAATTCTCTTCAGAATGCATTTTAAATTAGTTTTGCAATTTTTTTGGGGGGAAAAAAAAGAGAGTCCTTCATTCTGTCCTTACGAACAGATGTCAAGCAAAAACATCATTAAATTGCATTCGATAGCGATGAAAATGAATATTTGCTTTGAAATATGATGCCTGAAACTTTTCGCGATTACAATACTTTCTTTTTACTTCGTACAAGGAAATAAAAAAAGGCTCAAAACGTGGAGTTTTGTGACGCTGTATTTCGAGAACAATGAGTGTCTGCATATTGATATTATAATTCTGAAGTACTGATGCATGAATCTAAGTTAGTAATCGATAGCCTTTATAGTAATTGAGTAATTTCTTTTCTGTAGCTTTGAAGAAGAAATAGATTACAGTGGTCTTCTCCCATCGACGAACAGTTTGTATTCATTTATGATGGAGAACGAGACGTTGTCGTCTCAGGATGTGGGTGGCGCCATTGCATATTCCAACAGTGGAACGCATTACACGTACACGAATCTAGATTCATGCACACCGAGCTACCCGGTTGCTTCCACTTATTACAACATGACAAGTCCAAACTATATGACTGGACTGCAACAGCCTTTCTACGTAACTGCTGGGTCAGAAGACGTAGATACGACCACAGTTTACAACCAGTCAACGTATTTCAGGCAAACCGATCTTTGCTCTTGGACAATGAACAACGATGATGGCTTTGCTTCATCATCTCCATCATCGTTACACTCGGCATCTCCGCCAATAATAGGGTACGATCAGCAGCTCCATGCTGGTGCTGATGTTCCAGAGCTTAAATACGAGCGGTACAGCCCGGGAGATTCAGGTAAGATATTTTGCTGTTATGAATATTAAATTTTTTTCTAAAACGTAGTGTTATTCTATTCTTTGAAATAAACTAAATGCTGCTTTTAGTACTTTTCTATTAGAGCCATACTAGGTATTTTCGCGTCCGTGTTAGCTCATTTTGGCTTATTTTTTATCCTCACCACTTTGGTTTTGCACAATTTTATGGCGTCCACCGATTTTAACATTAAAGTCAATCAAAATTGTATACCCTTCTTTTAAACTAAATGCAACTAGGGTAGACCAAGTACCCAACCGAAGACCCTCCATATTAGGCAGGAAATGGAAACTAGTTGCGAATCATCTCGAAGAGAGGATAGAGTAAATTCTTAATTGCTACGGACCGAAAACCTCAATCTCAGAACGCAGACATACTCAAAACGAACTCTTATCAGAGCCCCATAGCTAAACTAGCGCACCGGCCTTTCGTCAAGCTTCGAGTGGAGACCACGACGGGGTGAGGCAACAAAGACTATAGCTCCGTGTTTCAAGGCAGTCAAATTACCTACTAAGGTGGAAGAAGCCACTACCCTCAGGAATAGCATAGGCTGCCCTTTCTGGCATTAAGAACCGGGTTCGTGTTATTGTGCCTCCCAGAGCCGATACTGTCAGAGTATATGACACTAAGCCAGTGTATGCAACCCCCGGGGGGGTAACATTAGGATGATGAGTTACCAAGGAATTGTCCTTTATAATTATTCCAATAAGTTGTTTCATTGTGATTCATTTGAATCTGTAGTTTGCTAAATTCAATGCATGTTGATTCTTGATACCATAAGTAAAAGAATTGTATGGCAGTAATGAAAGAAATATTGTATCCAGAAAGCCATATTTATGTTCGAGCAACTTTTTCTTCCTGTAGCTGTGGAACAAAGTGGCCTTTTTCTTTCCATGGCTATGCAACAATGTGTATGCGAAGTGACTTCGGAAGTGACCGAAGTCCACTTTGGTTTCAAGTAAAGCCGGCCCTAGACGTTTTGCTGCCTCGTATAACCTCTGCGGCTCTTAAAATCTGCCGCCCTCTGCCTAAATTTTAAAAAATTGCCATCCCTAAGTTCTGCCTCCTCGTGCAGACGAGATGAATGAAGGCTCTCTTGAACTCGAAACTAAAGCCAGATCTGGCGCTGGCAGTGGTTTTGAGTGGCATTTTAATTTCGTGAAGTAATCACTGAAGCACAAAGCACAGGCTCTCTTGAGGAATACCGGGAACCTCGGCGTACGTCATTAACCCTTGGACTTTTTTTTTCCCTTTATTTATCCTCCTTTTTATTTTCCTTGGACTTTTTTTTCCTTTATTGAGATTACAGCAAAGCACAGCCCGTACACGAACCTCAGACCGAACTACCTGTTTTCATACCGCTCGGCCGCTGGTGGGCCGATTCTTGGGCTTATACCAAACGAAACTTTACAGTAAGAAATAAAGGAAGAATAAGAAAATTAATTCTCAAAGAAAATGCTATTGTTATTATTATACTGTTTAATACTAAAACACGAATGCAATGGGTAAATATATGTACTGTACCTTAATGAAACACTGCACAAGATACTGTATATAAATATTTTTGAACTATCTAGAACAAAAAGAAATTTTTGAACGTGCTGTAACGTCTCTCATCAATGTTTAGTAATCTATTTCACCCTCTTCGCAACGTTAGTCGACTTAATAGTATCTGGGATTTACACATTCATATTCGGCACACGGAATACAATCCCTGATACGCATGCCATCTTCATACATTTTAACAATCTCTTTTTCCATCTCCATGACGACCCTAACCATTGTCTTCATTGCTTGACTCTTCTTATTAACTTCTTCTTCTCAGAAGGTGGGCTGCATAGAATCTCAATGCATAACCCATGTCTAAAATTTGTAGTCCAAATGCCCAGAAATTACGAATCATCTAATATGTAAGAACTTTTCTAGCATCTTGGTATAGTTAATCGCGACCAGCTCATTCTCAAATCTACTAGTCAGAATAATCGGCGGTAGCAGGTAGTCCCATAATTGGCTTATAGCATTAGTTACCTCAGTCAGGGGTGCTAAAACATTTTACCATTTGTACCTCAGTTTATTACCCCAATTAGTCAGTCATGGTTTTTACCGTTTGAACTCAATCAGTCATTGTCTACTATTTTTTTGAAGCGCTTATGTGCCTTCTTTAAGTTATTTTTCGGGAGTGGACGTATTCCAGCGTAAAAAAAAAAAAATTGGTGGAGTAGATAATCTAACTCTTAACTGGAAAGTTACTTGATTGAAGTTTTATTGTTGTTGGGACAAAGGTGTCTGCTAATTCAAACTGAATTACCCAGGGCAGGCGGCGAGGACGCCCCTTTGCTTACTGCCTCGCGGGGTTTCCATCTTCTACCTGCTTAATTACTTAAAGTAGAGTGCAATGAAGGAAACCACTGGCGATACATTTCTTAAGAGCCACCACTAGCTCAATAAATAAAGGTGATTTAAATAATAAAATGTTAATTCACATATCAAAGATCTCTTTGTACACAACATTTCTTGTGTTGATCTTTCTATCATTTTTAAGCTTGCCTTGCAGAGGACCGTCCATTATTTTTAATTTTACGTCCGTTCTTCCCCGAACTCTCGAACAGGCAACATAAAGTTGACGGTGTCCAAATGCACGCTCAAGTAAAAAAATGCCAACACAGTTAAGCGTTTGGCCCTGAGATTTATGGATGGTCATAGCAGAGGCAAGTATTATAGGAAATTGTCTACGTCTCAATTGAAACGGCAACCCTGTACCGTGGCAATTTCTCCCCATTGGCTAGTACAGTTACGCAAGCAACCCATAAACTATAGGCGACAAACAAACTTGAGGCGCATGTAATAAAGATATTTATTTATTTCATTTCATTTGTTTTTTCATCATTGCCGTTTTTTGTCGATTGCATATTTCCTAATTCTATTATGTATAGATGTTAAATTTAATTATTAAATGTTAAGTGCACGTGCTCTTTCATTTTTAATTTTTCCGGCTTAGCTTTCTCATGATATTCGTCACGAAAAAAAACAATTTACAGTTACGTAAGCAACCAATAAACTATCGGCGACCAACACTTAAGCTGCATATATATAAGATACCAATGCGGTACAGATGTTTAACGAGACAATCATGTCGGATCTCCAAACGGAACGCCGCAATGCGATGGATCTGAGAGAATCCGGGACATTACAAATCGAGTCTGTCCACTTCTTATTCTTAATTTCTTCTAGTAATTTAACATCGAAATTTTTCCTCATAGAATTGTTTTACTTTTCTTTTCATTGATGTAAATGGCACCTCACTATTATTTGACTGCAAAATTTCAGTTCCCTTTTTAGCTGGTTTATCAGCCCATTGACTGCCAGTTTTTCCAACATGAGCCGGGAACCACTGTAAGACAACAGCCATCCCTTTTGAGGCAAGAAGAAAAAGAACTCTGCAAGATTCAATAATTTTTTATTCCACGCACATTATATGCAGAATTCGCTTGAATAGCTCGAAAGGGAGTCTGAAAAAATAACAATATTTTTCAGTTGGATTGTTCTAATAATAATTTGTTCAGTGGCAACTGTGATTGCCTCGAGTTCTCCAGTGAAATTGGTCCGAAACGGACTAAGAGAAGAACAGAAGATAACTAATAAAACTTATAAAAGCACTCACTTGAGGCTAAGCGGATAAAATCAATCAACCTTGCTAATTCGTTCCGGCTAACTCTTTTACCATTTGCAACACGAGCTATTTAACACTTGTGTTTTTTTTTTCCCTCAATAGTTGGCCAAACCAAACCCTTACAAAATTATCCACGAAAGCATGCTTTGCCTAAAACACATACCATCGCAGTAATTTTTAAATAAAATTGGAAATGTAGTTTATTCAGACTAGAAAAGATTATTCTGGATATGGATGAATGACTGCCCACCAGATGTTAAGTAATTTATGTTAGCAACTGAAAAACAAAAGCAACGTAATTTTTTTGGTCCAAAGGGGCATTTTGACTATTAATTTCGTTTTGCCATTTTGCGTTCGTTCATTGTAAATGTCGGTTCACTTTTCAAATTGTTGCCTCCAAGTATTATCGCCCTGTGTTATATTTAAAGAAATTAAATAATGAAGGATCTGCATAAATATATGTATGTTTCTCGCATTGTGATAAAACAACGGAACCTAGAGTCATCAAATTTTGAATAACGTAATCCTCCACCGAATGTGGGCATCTGGAAGCCCTAATTTGGAATATGTATTATTATAGATTTCATATGTTATAATACTTTAACGAATTTTTGATTAATAAACTCAACGATTTCAAAGCAAGCCATGGCAACACTTTACGAAAAAAAAAAAAGCATTTTTATCTCCAGCGCGCAAGACTGTGCATCGGAAATTCTAGAGATATGTTCAGTTTAACATTAATTTGCGATATTGCTGTTGAACTGAATTTTACGGTTTACGTGCGAAGAAGATGATATTTAATAAATAAAGGTAACCCACAAAACGTTAAAAAAAGCCCCTTTGGGCGTAATGTTTTCAGATTTTGTTTTTTCTTCTAATATTAAGTCAAATATAATTAAAAAAATTTTCAATTTTTTAAAAATTAACCAAAAATTAATTTCGTCATGCATTTTATTTATATACGTGATTCTTTGCAAATATTTTAAAAATTAACAATATGCAAGTACTTTCTGCAACTCTTATATTTAAATTACAAAACCGGGCTCGCTTTTCTATTTCCTCCAACTCTAGCATAACTGGGAATTTCAGTGAGACATGGTTGTTGCTCCCCCTCCCCCTTTTTGTGGAACTTATTTATGGTTGTTACAGTTACTGTCCAAGGACCACTGACAGATGACGCCGACCTTTAGCCTGAGAAAGAACGATGTTGAGCTTTACGAAAAAAATTGCCTGAGATCGCCAGTTTAAACCATTCGATACCGTAAACTATGAAGGAATAAATCTTTTTTTTTCCTTCAGATCTAGTCCCGTG